TTCAGCAGCAGCAGCATCTCCTGAGCCTGCAGAGACAAGGGCTGCTGTCCATTCAGCCCAACCAGACTCTGCCCCTGCACTCCCTCACTCAGGGTAAGCACAGACACATCCATCTCCCCTTAAGAGGATTTTCACACCAAGAGCAAGCAACAGAAATTGCTGACAAAATTCATATGAAAAGTGCAATAAAATTAATCACATGATTACAACATGGATTTTCACCAGCCTCAGAGAAAACATCACTTCTGTTCACACACTGCTTGCCTGCTGGGAAAATGGGAATACATATGGTTTTGTGTTTGGGAACCATAGTGATTTAATATTTATTCATTCATTTATTTATAGATTATTTTTTATTAGTATCTTTATTATATTTTGCTAAATGGGTGGGGGGAATTTCAGGGCAAATTAATGCACTCCACATGACCAGGTCTATAGGAATACTTTGTTTTGTTTTTGAATGACCAAAAAACTTTTTCAGCGCAGGAAAATGTGTTACCCCTTAAAGGAACACTCCACTATTTTTGAAAATAGGCTCATTTTCCAACTCCCATTGGGAGTTAAACAGTTGAGTTTTACCATTTTCAAATCCATTCAGCCGATCTCCGGGTCTGGCGGTAGCACTTTTAGCTGTAGCTTAGCATAGATAATTGAATCTGATTAGACTCTGGGGTAGAACTTTTAGCTGTAGCTTAGCATAGATAATTGAATCTGATTAGACCGTTAGCATCTCGCTCATAAATGACCAAAGAGTTTCTATATTTTTCCTATTTAAAACTTGACTCTTCTGTAGTTAGTAAAAAAAAAACTATGTAGTAAAAAAAAAAAATATGTAGTAAAATCTGTGCCATTAGTGTTATCACCGCACCGCCGTGATGTTATGCAAAACATTTTGTTTTACGTGGATTTTGGAACGCGAGTGAAGTAGGCTACATAAAAAATAATAATTTGCCATTCAAATACATCGCGAATACGGAAACATTTGATTTTGTGTGGAGACCCAACGTTGGTTTCAGTTTCGTTTTAGCCTAAATGAATTTGTTTTGGTTTGTCGTTTATATTGCTATAGCTTCTTATATTTTTAATTCTTGTTCTTTTCTAAATACTGTTAATTGAAAGGATTTGTTGTGGAGTGAGGGGAACTAACACTATCTATGTTTACAGTGTTTATTATAATGTTTGTAAACATTTCGCGTCGGCATTAGGCCTATTTCTGAATGAAACAATAAAATGTGACTTATACGCGACTTATGTTTTTTCCCCTAAAAAACACTTCTTCTTTTTTTTTAATACGCGTAGCGTATTTTAACCATGCAGCAAACCTTTTTAAATATTTTGATAAATTACTGAAAAAATAAATAATTTAATGACTTTTTAAACCATTTAACTGATTGTATTAATCGGTCAAAATTCTTACGGCCGGTTAAACGGTTCAAATGAACATCCGTAGTGGTGGGGCATTTAATGATCAAAAGGACATATGAATACATATGTGAAAAGGAATACATTTTTTTAAAAATTATTTTATTTTTTTGAAAAATGTTTTGTACTTAGTGTTGATTTTTGAACATTTTACAGAAATATGCAAAATTAGGGAAAATATTGTGTTTGGTGAGAATAGGCCTTTATATTCTTTTTACATTATAGTTTCTGTTGTTCTTTATGTTAGAACCAAAAAATGTCTCCTACGTTTCCACTCTTCCATCACATATGCATACTGTATATCTTTATTTTATCTCTATTGTCTTATGTTGGCTCCCCTTCAGCCCCTAAACATACTAGCACCATTGTTTTCTAACCTCAACCCACTAAACTAGTCAAAGATTAATCACTTCACAAGCAGTCAGTGAGTCAAAAGGCATTTTTCCAGGAGGTGTATTGCTTTATTTTCCTTGTCATATTTACTTAAGGAGCAGCAACAGAATGACAAAGACTGCATTCATACCGGTTTTGTTTTGAGTTTTGTTTTCTTTCTTTCGAAAGCTGACTATACTCTCTCCGGCTAAGACAAACAAGCCCATAACAAGATAAGGCCATATGAAGGCTGGGGAGGGGGTGCTTGGGTAACACGCAAATACAAACTGTGTTTGTTTCAATCTTGTTATTGTTTGATCAGGGCATAGTCGGAAAGCTGAGCCACTCCACATACCCACGTTGCCCTGGGGCTGGGCGAGGCGTTGCTTTACGATGCGAAGCCACAGGCTAGTGTCAAACAGGAGGCCATCTCGGCGAGGAACAATTTTATTTCTCTAACAAGTGACTGAATGACATCTCAGAGCAGTTGTTACACAGGGAACATTTCATGAAAGGCCCAATCAGAGGACAGTAGTGAAAAACAGGACAGGACACATGCTGATTTTCTACTGCAGAACACAAGATATTGTATGCATATATATTAAGTGTGCTTGGCAGTGAAGGGTGGATTATTTCCTAGTTTAGAACCTGTTTGTCTAGTATTAGTCCAAGATAGTGGATACACCTGATTGGGTAACCATAATGTTTTAGAAATCCTTGAATTTTGTTGGTGGTTAAGTGTTAGGAAACAGAATACAAAAAAGTATACAAAATCAGCCACTCTCATTTGAATTTATTTTGGAACTTTTGTTTCTTTTATTCATCAATAGAATCAAATACAGTATGTTTCTTCAAGTGCACGTGTTTAAGCAACACTGTTTCTTGTCAGATGTCAGCCTGAGATGTCTTACAGGTCTCCTGACACAGTGGCTGGTAAAATTGGGTCCAAATTTGGCTTGCATGGGGGTAATTTCATACCCTGATTAAAACACTTGCTTGTGTGTGTGTGTGTGTGTGTGTGTGTGTGTGTGTGTGTGTGTGTGTGTTTGTGTGTGTCCTGCATATTTTCTGCTTCACTGTTAAAAGTTATTGATGACCTTTTTTTCTTTCACACTCCACTGCATTCTTTCATGCTCCAGCAGCCCAGTTTTCCATTCGCAAGATGTAATCTACAATATTCAGTAGTTAGCTAAGTAGTTAGCATTGGTATGATAACTTATGTTACCTCCTTATGTGTGCGTGGCGATTATGCGCTTGGGCAAGCTACTAAGGAAGATTACCCGGCCAGTGACGTGGGCTGAAATTGGCTTATTTATTAGACCCTCTGTCTTTGATGTTTGAATAAAATATTTTTACATCACAGCTATACATTTAGTGTCCAGGCACATCCAGTCATTTTCTACTAGCTTTTAAAGACTGTTTACAAGTATGCATGCTAGCATTCTGACACGACACAGACATCTGAGACTTCAATCAAAACAATGTGTTTTAGTCCGTTGTATTCGCGGTTGGATCACTTTTTGGACTTTTTGACTTAATGTTTTGGAGAGGGTCAGCTGAAGTCTGGTATGAATTATAACAATGTGTTGGAGGAGATAAAAATCATAAACTGGGTCCAGTAAGAAAAAAAAATGGTGGATTTAGCAGTTTGAGTAATAGAGTGAGAAAACAAACAGAACAGATGAATATTCAAGAAATGCAGACAGAGGAGTTGTATTTGGTAGAGTTAAACCATTTCTCTTGTGCCACGTACACAATGCATTAGGAGTACACAATTTTTACACAAACACAATTTTTGGGAGTAACAACCATATTTGAATATGGAGTGAATCCCCTAAATAGTAATTCTGAGTGTGAATGCAATGCAGGAGTCACTCTGGATTTTGTGATAGTTGGAACAAGAAAGCTTCTTTTTTGGCTTTTTTAGTCTTTTTATTGACTTGTTGAAAGATTTTTAATAATTTTATAAGAATTTCATTTTAAAATTTTACACTTTTTTACAATTTTACAATGTTAACAGAATTGAATTAAGCAGAAGAGGCCTAGTCGTCTGCTTTGACGTTGCTGCCAGATGTGTGTTTGTCCCTCATCTTCCACACTATTAGTCCGCTCTCATCTAAATCTGTGCCCTCCTACACTCACGTTGTGAATCCCTCTAGTTCTGGAGTTCATTCGCATCCCTCGCCGCACATTAGTTAAGTTGTCCAGTCAAGGGCCACAGGACACCGACAAGACAAATTTGCAACTAATATGAAAGCAGTGAATGTGACCAGGCATTAAGCGTGATGTGCGCGCGGACCCATCAGGGGACTCCGGCCCCTCGTCCGGCCTCGCTGGCAGTGATTGATCGGCTGACAGTGCGGCACTGTTTAATAGCTTCTGTAGCATTAGGGAGGAACATATTTTAGGCCTTAGGGCTACATATCAAAGGCCCCAGTGATCATAGCCCCTTTAACAGGAGGGAGAGAAGATCTCTGCTAAATAAACTAATAGTAGTGTCAGTTTGCCCCCAGTGGCGTGGCAGCGGTCTCGTTGAGAAACAAGCGGCCGCCGCTTTCCGTGGCCCCAGCGACGGCATTTTTTTATCGGGCTGCTGATGGGCCACAACTAATGTGGTTGTGAACCTTAAATCAACTTTCCGCTTGCTCGAACACGGTCACCAGGGTACCGGGGTACAAGGACAGGAAAAGGTTGAAGCGAGAGTTCGGGGCCCCTGTCTGGGTGTCGCCGCTACCTGCTGCGGTAAAAATTGAGTTGCTTCGCCGGCCATCAGTCAAACGTCTCAATGACATCCATTTTTTAAAAGCGCAAGTGTGTATCTTTGGCTTTTAATGAGAGGAGGTGCGCGGCTGAAAAATGACTTTAGGGCCGTTAAAGCGATCTGGAGTTTGCAAGACGGATTTAAGGACAAAGAACTGTTTTAATGCCGTGTGTTATCTGTGAAACGTCACATCCATCATCCGCTACTAAATGATAATGCCGTGACGTTTGCCAGATCGGTTGAGAGGTCATGCAAAGATATATGCAGACGATTTTGAGAGATACATCTGTGGGAAAGAGAGAGACGGGGGATGGAAACCAAGACATCGAGTGAGATACAGACCTGCAGAGGAAAAAGGTTTATGGGGGGTGTCAGACACAACAAGACAGCTTCGTCCCACTCCGTTAGCCCTCTCATCAGCTCCCCCTCCTCTTTCCGGCTTGGATTCGTTTCAGTAAACAGTGGTGTCGGGGTCACCTGGACTTGTGGGTAATTGAGGGAGAGTGGGCCACCCTGTCAAGCACGTCGGCTAAAAATACATCGCACACTGTCACTGTGCTCCAAGTGGGGGGAAAATGATTGTTCCCCTCTATGTCCAAACCCAAAAACAATCACCAGCGCCGTGACCTTCTTGAATCCACACGGACAAGTTTTCCCTCCCTCGCAATGACAACAGCAAAGACAAAAAGCGAGTCGATATCTTCAGACACCGCCATCAGAGTTTCACGAGGACGTTAAAACACTGCAAGACGGCATAAAAAAAGCCCAAGGAAGCGAAAGATGCCACGTGGCACGTGGGAAGGTTATTGATTCGTCCTGCAATAATTTCCGCTGGCTCTTTTATATGCAAACGATCTCGTGTGAATTTATGGCAGTCCTACCAGACTCATTTCACAGTTTTTAGTCTCTCTCGCTCTGTCTCTTTGTCTCTCTCTCTGGAGTCTTAGCCGCCTCATTAGCTTACTGTTCTCCATTACTGGCATAATTAAAATCTTTAGTAGCTTATCAAATTAAAAATATTTTCTGTTGATCGTATTGAGATCTTCACCGCGCCGTTATTTTGCCACAACAGGAATGAATTAAGACTAAGCGATTCTTGCACAAATGTATTACGCCGGAGCGCATGAAAGAGGCCACTTCTGGTATCTGTAAAGAGAATTATTATGAAGGAGAGAGAATGCGAGAGCGAGGGGAGGGGAGAGGGGGTTGAGGGAAAACAAGGAGACGAATGAAGATAACCAAGACAAAAATTGCTCCCCATTTGCTTTCGCTCATTTTGAAAATCGATTTAATTGTGATGTTAAGCGATTGATCCCCCACTGCCCAAAACAGCCCCTTCCCATTTAATTTCACAGAACATATAAAGAACTTTATAAAGTCACACAGTGGGTGTGTTCCATTCAGAGTTCCATTCTTAATCCCTATTGCTGAAGGCAACAGTCATCTTTTTTAGATTTGTCTAAATGCATGTATGTTTGTATAAGTCTTTATATTATACAGTACTGTTCAAAAGTTTGAGGTCACTTAAAAAAAAAAAAAAGTACACTTATTCAGCAAGGGCACATTTAATTTATCAAAAGTGACAGTCAAGACATTTGGAATGTTGCAAAAGATTCCTGTTTCAAATATGTTCTGTTGTTTTGAACTTTGAAGTCATCAAAGAATCCTGAAAAAAAAGTATCATGCTTTCCACAAAAATATTAAGCAGCACAACTGTTTTCAGCATGTTTCTTGAGCACCAAATCAGCATATTAGAATGATTTCTGAAGAATCATGTGACACTGAAGACTGGAGTAATGATGCTGAAAATTCAGCTTTGCCATTGCAGGAATAAATTACAATTTAAAATATATTAAAATAGAAAAGTTCTGATTTAATTGTAACAGTTTTCCCAATATCACAATTTTATAGTTTTTTTTTTGTGGGATCAAATAAATGCAGCCCTGGTGAGCCTAAGAGACTTCTTTCAAAAACATTAAAAAAAAAATCATACTGATCCCAAAGTGTTAAATTCAGCATCATGTCATAATATTTAAACACTTCTAAATATAGTGGCCGCTCAATGGCTAATTTCATTGTTAGCCCTTTCTTTCTAGTTCTCATCCTGGTAGCGCTGAGTTGTAGAGTCAGCTACATGAAACACTTTGCGTATGTGGGTGTGCATGCAAGTGTTTGTGCGTCTGTCACAGAATTGAGGCAACATCTTGTCTTCAAGCAATTTTTCTTCCCACTTATCTTCTCTCTTTTTTCAAAGGACATATGAGCCGCAGTGTGCTTGACTTGTTAAATGAGGTTTAAGTCGTCTGTGTCAATTGGAGGCGGTGCAAAACTTTAAGCATTTTGCACATTAACATGCTTTCGAGTGTATTACCCTGGGGGCTTGTTCGTTCTTTCACTTTCTCCCTCTCTCTCTCTCACGGAGATGGATGTTTTTGTGGTCTTGTTTTGTGTGTTTGTGAGAAAGAGCTGGCTGACTTCCTTGTCAGAGGAATAATGGTGATTATTCAGATTTCATGCCTTGTCTGTATGTTAATTATTTACTTCAAGCATGAAATGTGCGTGAATGCCAGGGAATTTTTGTACACAAACACGCTTCGCGTAGCACGTAGGGGAAAAAGAGCGAGCAAGAGAGAGAGAATGGCAGAGCGAGAGGGCAGGCGCCTCGTATCAGCCTGTAGTGGAATCATTAATGCCCCCCTTTTGTTTACTGAGCCCTTGTTTTTTATTTAATTATGCCATGAGTAGAACCAGATTAGCTGTTAATTGATTTAATTATCCAATTTGTTTGTGGCAGGCATGATTCCAGCCGAACTGCAGCAGCTGTGGAAGGAGGTGACAAACAGCCATGTGAAGGAGGAGAACAGCGCGCACAATAACAGTCACCGGGGTCTGGACCTGTCGTCCCCCTGCCCTGTTCCCCCCAAAAACCACAACCAGCATGGATCCACCAACGGCCAGTACATCAGCCACTCGCTCAAGAGAGAGGGGTAAGACTGCTCAGACATTGAGCTATTGCTGGAGAAAAGTTCCACTTCACTGTTGGTCGCTGACTGAAAAATCTGAGCACAGTTTGAAACACGGCTGAAATCTAGAGGAGACACGTGTGAGATTATTTTTATTCAGATGTTTCGAGTTCTTGGCATCATTGAGGCATCATTGCCCCTGTTGAAGGTGGAAATCCCTTCAAGGGAAGCCAAATTGATGGACAGGTACCCACAGGGCATTTCCTGCATATGAATATTAATTTATCGCTGCTAAGTACCTTGGCATTTTCGTTAAGGACCAGGCCTGTCTGCTTAGTCCTGTTCATCAGGGATTTCCAGTTAAACACCTGGGAGAATGGCACTGTTAGAACGGTTAGATTACTGTAATGAAAATAAAATCTCTTCTTTAGTTTTTAATTATTATGGCCACAGGCCTATTTTAGTGGAATTACGCTCCAAATTATATGCATTTTATTTTTCTAATAATTAATTTCATTTATTTATTTATGGAGGCAGGAATGTGAAGTTTTTTAACAATTTTATTCTATTTTTTATGATATCCTAAACAAAATTGAGAGATAGATTCGTCATCAGAACAATTTTTCTTTTAATTCTGAATGAATGCATTTTGTGCAACAGAATGTACATACAGAGCAGGTGATTCAGTACAGTTATATGTACCAGTTGCACAACACAGCACAGCTTGCTAAATACTGTAAAGCCTCTTTAAAGCTCTGACACATAAAGATTTATTTGGAGGAAGCATTGCATCGCTCTGTCTTTAAGGAAGAGATTAATTTCGTTTATAACACATTTGCTTGTTTTCATGTGTTCAGGCCTGATCTTTGAACCGCTGGTGAGAAGCCTCCAGGCACTGTGAGCTCATTTATTTGTCTCTCTCTCTCTTCACATCTGACTCAGATTTGGATGATCAAAACCAACGTGTCATTATGAAAGCAATGCGAATGAAAACAGGTTTAGTGCTGCAAAACAAGCCCTAGCTGAAGGTAAAGGGAAAGTTCACGTACACGTGTAGCTGCTTTTTTCTACCAGTGAAGAGCAGTATGGAGTTCACGACAGTTTTGCTCAACATTTCAAGGGTTATTTAAACTAGCCATGATGTCACTGATGCTGTGGGGCTAATAGGCACTTTCTATCTTTTTCTTTTTCTTTCTTTCTTTCTTTCGTTTGTGCCACACAAACAGGCCATAAGAGGCTTGACTCACCATTGATTGTTAGTTTTGACGTTAGCATTTTGCAGTGCACTCTGCGAAGAATTATGCATACAGTATAACATTCCCTTAATTGCTGCATAGTTGTGTGATTCTTCATTTAGAAGCACTTTTGATTTTTTTCAGATAAAAAGAAACTCGAGGGGAAGATGGGAAAATATGTCATTCAAGAGTAAAATGTTCTACTCTTTAAAACTAGATTGATTGTTTGTTGTTTGCTTTTGCTTTGAAATCATACTCGAGAACAGAAAAGTTCCCCTAATTGAATAATCACCCAATTATGCTGTCTAGGTAGGCAGCTCACAGCTTTATTAAACAGAGCCACTCACTCATATGCTAACTTATTCTATTTCTCTAGTTCTTTTTCTCCCTCTCCCCTGAAAGTAACAGTCTATCATCTCGTTTCCTCAAAGTGCATAAACAACCACCAGTACTCTATCACAACACCACAACTCTTTTGTGCCATAGCAGGCTTGAAACACTCAAAAAGACATGTTGGAAGACTCACTGCTCCACTCCCTGCCTCTTGCTCTGTGTCAGAGATTAAAGAAGATGTCAACAGTAGTTTAGCACCCATGCCATGAAGAAGGCGTTTTGTAGACTGAGTATCTCAGATCTGTCAGAAAAAGGGAGCAGGTGATCACCCCTCTCTCTTCAATCCGTTCGTTAGCTGACGAATTAGTGCTGGAAATGCATCCAAATCATTACTGTTCGAATGCAAAAGCACATTAGAGAGACAGTGCTAATAACTTAGCGCTTTGATGATTTTCTGTGTAGCATTAATATCCGTGTAGTTTTATTCGCAAACACGTGCTCCATCACTACACCCTACGGGGCCTCCAAGAAACGTAACACTTATTTCTACCATTTTTAATCTGCAGGAGCTCCGTTTCGTGGAATCCAAGGTTATGAGTGGAAGAAATTAAATGTGGACTTATCCCTTACACACAAACGTTAATGAACTTTTAATTGATGTGGTTTTCCCAAGTCCCTCTTGTCGTGAAACAGGCGGGCGGCTGTGCGCTGATGGACTTGCTCTGCCCTGGCTCTCTCAGATTGGTTTACCGCCAGGGTCTTAAGCACCGCGCAGGCCGTTTCATGTGTCATATAAAATCTGGCCAGTCGCTGCGACGCCTGCAACTAAAACCTTAAGTGCATCCAGCAGCATCATTCACTGTCTTTTCACTTCCGTCTTAAAGGAAGGAGAGAGAAACTCAATCACTTCGTACATGTTTAGACGCGATGCTCCCCTGCTTTTAGCAGCCTCCATCGGCTCCCACTGGTGCCTGTACAGAGACAACCACCTCATGCACACCCAAATATGATAAAAGCCTTCGACTTGTCAGTCCACCCGACCCAACGGTGCTCAGATAAGGGACAAAAAGCACTCATGAACCTTTCTGAGGTGATTGGAAATGAGGTGTCTGCTATCTGACCAAAGCCCAACAGGCCCATACCTAATTTTATTTTATTTTATTTTACTTTATTTTTTTTATTTTTTTATTTTTAATTTTTCAGCGTCTGGATGGGTTTAAAAAATATAAAGATGACTTCCATTTCGGCAGTTTTCAGTTCTCTTAATTGGAAGGGAAAGAGTGTCACCCTGTTTGAGTCGCCCCACTTCATTCTCCTCCCAGAATCCTTTTGGAATGCTACACTCGGGGGAATTAAACCCAGACAATTTGTTTTAAAGAGATAAATAATCAGATTTGCCCCCCTAAACGAGCCCCTTAACCTCGCTTTTAATTGATCTTCAACTCTGCAAATGATAATTAAAACATTTTGGGTTGGGAGGGGACGTTTGGTTGGGCATACTGTAGAGGATTGAGTCGGGGGTCTGGGGATTTGCCAGTAGACTTAGAGAAGGAGTGTGTCTTTGATGTTTTCTCCCCACATGAAGACGTGAGCCAGGGTAATAGTGTTGTGACAAAGTGCTCAGTTCCTGTCTGAGCTCTCCAGATGTCAGACCTCTCTCTTCTTCGTTAGGTCGGCAACGATGATACTTAGGTGCTCGGTGCGTGATAATACGATCCTAAACCATAATGTAATGAAAGATGATAGGACAGAGCCACGCTGCCTCACAGGAAAGCATTTAGGCTATTGCTGTAAGAGCCGATGAAGGATATAAATGCACATGTGGTGGTGTTTTTGATGCGCTGGGACTTTTTAAATTATTTATTTATTGCCCCTTTTTACTTTTAACCTTGAATGCAAAGCAGATGGCACCTTTGATTGTTAAACGACAATTTAAGTTTAAATACTACTCTATCTTATTTTTAAATAAAGAACTGTAGAAGTTACCACGTTTACACAGACAAGATCACGGACAAGCTTTTGACTCTTTGTATTTGTTGTTTTTTGTACGGAATGAATGAGGTCAGTGTAGAAAGAAAACCCCTGGTGTTTGTCAGTCTTCCTCTGAGTTGTCGTTTAAAACCGTTTAGTCATCCATTGTTCAAAATTAGCTTTGTTTCCTGAATCACAAGCCTTTAAGCTTTTCACAACTCAACTCTTATTTATATAGCTTTAGCCAGTGTCATATTGGAATTAAAACAAGACGTGGCATGGCATGTTTCTTGCTTAAAAAGGAAGTAGATTCAACATATTATGTTTTATTAAAAATGAAAACAGTTGCCTTAATATGTTCATGCATATGTTTGTTTTTAATTTTCTTCCTAGTTTTTTGCAAGATTATTGTCTTGAAATTGGCATGTTTTGTCTTACACTGACAAAATCAATTATTTCTGTTTATTTCAATCTTGCATTGATACAAAATTACTATTTTACGCCTTTTTTGTTAAAGGTGTCTAATAAAACTTTTAATAATTGTTTTCTATTTTTAGGCATGTATTTAATTTGTGTTTGTTAATAAATATTATATTATTTCATAAATGTAATCTGTTTTTCTTGTGTTTTTAAATCCTGATAATTTAAGCTATTGAGAGTTTGCCGTTTGAATAGGCTTAACCTTTGTGTCGCATTAATTCAGCTAGATTTTAAATTCAACAAATGCCAGTACATTCCCTTCTGCGGATAAAACCACACTGTTGAAATTGAGGGAAAAAAAAAGTAGGTGGATCTTCACTGCTAAGCTTTATTGTGCCTATGGTGTAGTTCATATGAAAGCATGCTGCACTGAGCTGTTGACGACCCTGTGCAAGCGGATAAATTGATAACAGGTGGGGTGTGTTTACTGTTTGCGCTTGGCGGGAGCAGGCCAGATGGATTTGGGAGCTTCCTGTTGTGGGAAACACTTGTTGCTCCAGGTGGACGGCAGGGGCCACGGTTCAGTGGTCAGGGCTAAAGGACGTGCTGTCTCTCCGAGCCTTGTGCTGCCCTGATCAAAGCATTCCTCTGTACACATCAGAGGAGACCCATAATTGGCTATTGATTGGCCAGCACCGGGCAGCTCATGCACTGTGATAGGCTGACAACTCCAACTATGCTGAAAGCAGAGATCACATGGTTGCACTGATCACACACTTCCTGTAGAAGTCAGTGGTCATGTGAGAGTCAGTGCTGTGTCAATAAAACAACACGCTGCAATGGTTTTTTGTGCTGAAGGGGGAGGTTTCTTTATTAGTTGTCATATTTTAGTGGATAAGCCATTAATATTACATCAAGCAGTATTATAGAGATTAATTACTCTTTAGCCTCTTTCATAAAAGCCCAGTGATGCGTGAATATGTTGTGTATCAAATATTTGCAGCCTTGATATCACACTAATCTGTCTTTTCTTCTTATAGATCAACGTTGGATGATCATTCTCCTCATAGTCACCCTCTCTATGGTCACGGCGTCTGCAAATGGCCAGGATGTGAAGCTGTGTTTGAAGACTTTCAGTCGTTCCTGAAGTAAGAATCTCACCCACACCCACACCTGGAATAAAAAAAAAAAAAAAAAGAATGTTTACAGATTTCCTTTTTGAAATACTCTTTTGGAATCGGGTATGGAATTGTAATTTGGAACCAAATTCAAATGATGCTAATTTAATTTTTTTCTAATATAGGACTAAAACTAACTAAAACATACAGTTCCCCTGTTAGACTATTAAGATTACCAGCAGGATAAAATTCCCAGTTGGGACTAAGAACCAATACAAATCAAAACACCCTGTAGGAATTTTGGAATATCCAGTGGGATATTATTTGATTCTTAAAGGATTCCTATTTGATCCCATTGGGATTCTTAAGAACTATGTGTTATTAAGGATCCTAATCTTTTAATTTCAAATTAGAATCTTTTTTGTGTGGTATGTTGGAATCCTATGAGAAAATTTGCATTCGGTCCAAATAAAATTCCAAAAGAAATCCTGTGCACATTTCTTACTAAATGTTTCACTAACATTACATTACAGTATTTTTTCATTCCCTTTCCTGGTCTTTTTTTCCTCTCTCTGTGTGGGCTGGGTTCTTGACGTGGGTGTGTGGTGTGCTGCTCTTTGCCTGCTCTCTGTGGTGTGGTTTCCCTCAGGGTTCTGTGCTGCCTGCGATAACTGCAGTCCCCATGGTGATTACTGACACTTTGTCCCAAAACAAACACGTGGGGATGTTTATCTACGGTGGCCCACATTCTGAGAGTACAGCGGGTTTGCCCTTGTCTGCCTTTTTACAGACAAGAAGAAGAGATCTTCTAGTTCTTTCCCTCTCTCTCTCTCTCTCTCTCTCTGTCTGAGTCTCTCCTTGCTTTTAGAAACGTCTGAGTCTGAGTTTTTTTTATGTGACATATAGTGGAGATCTGTAGCAGACCAAATTCAATCTCCATCACCTACACAAGCACCACACTGATTTTAAAGCATGTGCACTCTGACTGTTGCATTGGTTTTATCTGGAACCAGTGCCTGTTCACCTGCCCACTATGTATCAACTCAACTGAATCAAGCCTGACCCGTCCATGCTGTTAAAGTCCAGTCTATTCTGGCCAACACACAGCTCCACACTCCCTAAATAACACCTAAACCCAAGATCAGGCTAAAGGTGCACGGTTTACACAGCATTCATCCTGATCCCTGCTCCGAGGAAGACCTGGTCTCACTTAATCTCCACGATGTGTGTGTTTGTGATGAGATGATGAAAACATGTGCCGTGTGGCAGCAGATCAGTGAGTGTGTGTCAGGCTGGATTAGTCCCACTCTAAACAAGATATGACACTGTTCCATTATCCCGAGTTCAAACTAAAACAAGCTCGACTCAAAGACCCACAAGCCAAGACCAAAAAGGAGAAAACCACAGCTGCACTCCGACCAGTTTTTCAGTTTTGTGTGTGTGTGTGTGTTTTTTTGTTTTTTTTCCCACCTCAGGGTCGTAGCTCATGGGCTTCTCTTGCCAGTTTATTTGAAGCCATTTTTAAATCCAGTCCAGGCTGTGTAAACACTTTTGCAGATAATAACATTATCTGTCTCCAATCTGTGTTTACCTGTGGAGAAAAATGTAAAGAAGTGCATTCGCTCTGTCCGCCGAGAGGTTAGAAAGAACGTTTGCTGCCCTGAAGTTTCTAAACTGCGGATCTGTTACAGTATGTTTTTGGATTGCGGTTCACATCGTTGCCTTTTTTCTATTGGCCAAAACCATGATTCATCATTTGCTTATTGAAATAAGAGAAATTAGCATTTCAGAGCTGAAAACGAGCTCGAGAGTGAGAGAGAAGTGCTTTCTTTAAGTACACTCTGCAATGTTTACACAAGTGTTTTTATCATGGCAACATCTTGTTTACTTTTCTTGTCTGCCCTAAACTGCTTGGAACATGTTGAGAAAACATTTGGAGACTCTCTACAAAGCCGCTTTTGGAAAAAGCCAGGCTGGGTGAGAGTTCAGCTGGCAGGCTGAAGGTGTTAACCATCCATGCGCTAAACATTCCCACATGTACATCCTCCACCCGACGGGCCCGAAGAACCATAAACAGAAATCAGGGAGTAAATTAGCTGGATGATAAGAGTTTTCTGGGTAGCTAAAGACGGGCGCCTGGGGCGACATGGCGAGGAACGGTGAGAGATGCGCACTAACGTCACATGGATCTCCGCAGGCCGAGCCAAAGGCAACAACCGATGACGTGTGGCGGTGTTGTTTTAAACCATACGGATATTTATTATGTCTTCAAAGGAAAACATCTCATACCTAGTCGTGCTGGTTGATACCATTTCCAATAAATAATAAAGGAAGCGGTGATAAACCGATGTGTTTTTCCAGTGGGACAGGAAGGTTTATAGAACAGGTCGGGATGCTTTTACAAGAGGTCAAGGGCATCCATGACCTGGGGTATTTGAAAGGTCAAACTCAGTAGTTCTGCCATCTTGTAGCACTAGGACATCCTGTGTGTGAGTTTCGGTATTTATCTTTTACTAAAATTAACTTTGCACATTGTGATTTGCATACAGTTTCTACAGTATTAACCTTAGAACTGGTTTCTGCTTACGGTTACCCTTCGCAAACACGTGTGTTGTATTTCCCATCCTGGAAAGTGTGTTTACCCATCAAAGACAAGCAGTATGAGTAAATAAAATCAGTAGATAAGCATAATTCTTTTACGTAATGTGAGAAGATAAGGAAAAACAGACGGATGTTTAGCTATTGAAACAGCTGCGCGTGTTTGGGAATAAACAATAGTTCATCCAGCCGTCCCTATAATAGAAAGACCTTTCAGGGCGTCAGCCTGCCAGAGCATCATTAAAACCTGGGCTAAAAGACAGCTAGCTTCAGTGATATGTAAAATGCTGACTGTTTAAGTAATGGCTATTTAACTTGTTTTATTGTGGCCATTTACATTAGGGGCTGTCATCCTGCCAGAAAGCTTTTAAACAGCCTTCATCTGAAGTCCAGAAAGTGACACATGCCAGCGCTCATAATCTCTCCCGACGTCAATTCTGCCGTTCTCCGGAGCTCCTCTTGTCCAGACACTCTTCCGAGAGGCTGCATTAAGGGCCATTTGAATATTTCATTTCCTATTAATTATGCACTGTGACTCTACATGTCATTAGAAGGAACGGAGGAGAGGACGGGGAAAAAAGAGAAACGTCCACTGTAACAAAGGATGAAAAGAGGTAGCGGGGGCTTGCGAGGTGCCGCGAACTACGAATTCCAAAGCATGTCACGTCCAGCTGCATTCATTGAAAATGCGAGACGCCCTGTACCTATTTTATCTCTCCACAAATGAAAATTGGGTGGTTGTTTTGAAATGTTTACATGATCCCTCTTCAGCCTTCCCTGACTTCAAAAGCGGCTTGTTTTTAGTTGATTAATGTTGGAAGCCAGAACAGACGCAATATAGTTTTAAACAAGGTGTGGATTTAGCGTGGCCATGTTAAAACACTCGCCGTCCCTAATCCTTGTTATTTTTACGAAACGATCAATTCAGAATGTCTTTAAAGGTGTGTTCACGCTGTGTCAACGTTCAAAAAGACACATGGTATTTATGTGCTCATTCTGAAGGAAAACAGAGTCCGTTTTGACGCACGTTTAGATCATTTCCCTTTCAAGGTTGAGTGCTCCACTTCCGAAGTCAAAATCGCTCTCCGTCATGAGTGTTGTTGAGTGTGTTTTCCCCACACGTATTTTCAGCTGTGCTCGTATGTTGTCTTTATTCTTAATAATGGCGCCGCTGCCATCATGTCACGCCACCTCGCCGAATTTATTAGGCCATCAACATCAGTTCTGGCTCCCCTTGTCTCGGCCCCTGCTCAGGTCCGGGCACGACACTTTGATTTGCGGCGGAAGACAGTAAACGTGGGAAGACGAGCACGTGGAAAACGCTACTGTTCCATTCCACCAGCCTCTGCCTGGTGACAGTGACCTACATGGTCAGCGAAGATGCGATATAATTTATGATATATATATAATATATTGGATCCATTAGCGGGCATAATGAAGTAGTGAAATGAAAGGGTATTTGTGAAATCAGTTCAAACATCGTGCACGGATTATGATTAAATGATTAATGAAATGCCCCTGCATAAGCATTTTCAAACCATAATTCATGCGAGAGCTGATAAAAATCCTCCAATCATATTTCCTTCACTCGTGAGTCTTATCTCCTCCATTTTATATAAATCACCACAAAAAAAGGAGAGGTAAAAAAAAAAAAAAAAGGAAAGCTTGGCCCGCTTTGCAGAGGCCAGCTACTTATTTAGATTAGTTATAAACGTGCGGGGGAGAAAAAAAAAGGTCTTGGCTGTATAAAATAATCATGCATAATTATATTCATAATTCAAGTTTATGACAGATTCCATCTCTTTTCTCCTTGTTGTCCTTTGCCTTTTTCCTCCTGGCTTCATTTGAGTTCTCTTAATCTAGATGACATGATTAACTGCAGAAGCCACCGAAAATAAAAAGCTGGGAGGGTTTGCGGAGCGCACGTCTGCCGATTTACAATATCGTTTTTTCACCTGAGTTTGGCGAGGCGCTTTTCTTGTCTGCCCAACTTGGTTTCTGTAGGTTTGCGTGGAAACGGGCAGTTCGTGAATTATGCATGAGGCGTGTAAAGAGCGCTTCTATTTCCGGTAATGCAGAGATCTTGTTAGAACACTCTTCATTTGTGTTTGGGGAATTTGATATTTGTGGATGTGTGGACATTGGCTTTATTTACTTTTTATCATTTTAGTATATGCGTATCTCGGGCCATTTTCACTTTTCCAATATGGAGAAATAAATGACTGCCCTGCAGAATGTGCAGATAATGTAATTCAATATTTTACCATGAAAGTTTTATCAAATGTTTAATAGATGGCTGTAAAATATGGTACTAAAATGAAGGCTTCTCTCTCTCTCTCGCTTTCTCTCTCTGTAGACATCTGAATAATGAACATGCCTTGGATGACAGGAGCACGGCGCAGTGCAGGGTACAGATGCAAGTAGTTCAACAGCTGGAACTGCAGGTAACAATTCATTTCTCCTTGTTCATCTCCTTTTCTGGCTTTTTCAAAAGTTTGCTTTGTCTCTCTCTCTCTAGCTCTCTCCCTCTCGCTCATTTGCTCTCAAGTAGCAGCTCAGAGATAGAGGAGGGAGGGATAAAAATGAAATTATTTTGTACATTTGTGAGTAACCAGTCATTAAAAATGTGTTATGTTCGCATGACAGCCAGGCAAAGATATATGGAGTGCCCTGGGGCTCACTCCACAAGATAATTACATTTCCAATTTTACTGGGTTTTAAAGTCGTTTATGACTTTTAACTATTTGGCACCACAATAAAACACTTTGTGAAAAAATCCAGGCGTACCAACAATGGTGGGTGAGCTACCAGTCATTTCAGTGAATTGATTGACTCATTTTGTTTATTGTATTGTATTGCTTGTTAATACACATTAATCGTGACATTACTCAGGGAATGGCATCACAGAGATCGGGATGTATGGAAAATGAATGGGAAGTTTTTGGTTTTAGGAGGAGAAGGGAGATGGATACTCTCTTAGATTCAGGCAGAGAGCATTAGAAAGTGCAGGAGTTATTGTGCAGTGGTTAACACATTGAACTATGGTGCTCATGCAGGTTAGTTGAGGTCAAATCCAGCTCTGAATGTTATTCGTCTCCTAATGTGTACAACACCTTTATTCATGCTAGAAAAATTCACCCCAGGCATCAAAGTGCAATGATCATTCTCTATCTGCATGCTCATCTGTCCAGACATTAGCCATTTATGCGCTATTCAAATGCTTGATAGTACAAATAAAATTAGTCTTTATGTCATGGTGTCAATAAAGTATTTACATTTTTCTTCGATACTGCACCAAAACAAAGAGAAAGGGCCACACATATAGATTCAGAAGTAGCAGCAGCTCAGAGGAGCAGAACTGGCCTGCATTGCCCCCAAAATGATCATAATCCTAAGTAGATCTTAGAGATCATTGCTGCCAATGCTATTTAGGCTTACAGTGTTTTGGGGGCAATGCAGTCTAGATCCGTGTGTGTGGAGGTCAGAGAGGTCCTCTAATGTTTAATGTAGATTCACTTTGGCTGAAGTAACCATGACTGAAGGCTAGAGCTTGTGTGTTCATTTTCAGTGGCTAATAAACCCTTAGGGTTGTGTCTCTGTATCAAGTGTAAAGGTCACAATTTGAGTACATGTATGTCAAGAATAATCATATGTTTGTCAGATGTCCTTCCCAATGGGTTATTTGGTTTACTGATAACTGAGAGAATGTTACACTAAAATGCAGTTAAAAAGGTCAGAATCTTTTCTCATTTTAATTATAATTTGTATGACTTTTTTCCTGTTTTTCTCATTAAAGTTAGCGAAAGACAAAGAGCGTCTTCAAGCAATGATGACTCATCTTCATGTCAAGTCTACAGAGCCCAAACCCGCCCCACAGCCAGTGAGTATAGCACTCTTGACATCTCAGCATACATGTCCCAATTTGCATACTGTCTGTAAATAGCATATGAGATTAAATTTAGTGCGCACCAACTGATAGTAGTTGAAAATAGTATGCCAAATGTGCTTCGATGATATACTGTATTTTCTCTGGTGGTTTTTTAGAGTGTGCATCTATGCATGCGTTGGTGTTATGCTGGTCACAGTTGTTTGTCATTCACTTTTGCTTTTCTTATTAAAGAAAAATGTGCAAGCAATGTAAAAAAAAAAAATCTGTTTTTATATAAATAAAGTTTTAAATGAAAAATACAAATGTTAGTCGTTAGTTCTAATACTTGCATACTTTACACACTGAAATATATGGAATTGGTGCAGTTTTTTTTTTTCAGATTGGATGCATCTCTTTTCTCACATTCCTATTTAAGAATTTCCAACATTGTTGGAACATGTTTTAGGTTGTATCTGTTCATAAAGTTAAAAACATATCCCTCATAAATTTTTACTATAATCAATGGAGAACAAGTGTTCACAAACCATTACAAAAATTTTAATTGATCATTGATCGGTCACATTCTCTCCTCTTCAGTTTGCTGAGTACGCGGATCATTTATTTACTGCTCAGGGGCCCCGTGGTGCTCAGGAGCCCAGAGACGGTGTCCTGGGACGGTGGGTGACAATAGTTCATTCAATGGAGCTTTGCCTCTGTCACACGCTGATTGTTTGGATTAGCATTTGTACAGAGGTATCTGACAAGGTGATGCTTGTGTATGAAAATTGGTCTCAGATACTGATAGTGTTGTTAGCCTGCTGCCTCTCCCCACGGGACTGAGGGGAAGCAGCTTGTAATGGAGAGGAGGACCCTTACAAATAAATACTTTTTGATGAGGTGTACTGTGTACTGTATGCTTTATTATTAGAAGCCTTTATTTAATTTTACAATGACTTCGAAATAATTAGCGAAAAAATGTAGCGCAGACCTTAGCAGAATCTTAGTTGAAATGTGTTTACAGATTCCATTTGGTGACGTTTTACTCAACAGCATTGTTTTACTAAAAGCCTTGACATTTATTTTGCAAATTTGGTCATTTACTTAGCTAATGTTGGAATGTGTGTTTAGTTTTAAATTCACGTTTTTACTCATAAACAAATTAGATGTTTTTGCGGTCTGATATTCTGCTCATTAATCTTGCCCAGTAACATTCATATTTATCAACAGCTCATTTTAAGAGAGCTTTTGCCTCAAGCCACAGTTGTTTGTGTTTGTGCGTGCCATGCACGTGCGTCCACGAGTTTACGAACGAAGGTGTCACTAAGCGTTCTCATCAGCAATCTGACCTTTTCATTGTCCATAATTAAACTGTAGATTTTTTTTGTTGTTGTTGTTTAAGCTTTTTTTTAGCAGCTTGTCTTCTGTTTTCCATGGCAGCTTGGCAAGTCAAAGCCAGTATAATTAGATCACCAATTACCATTTAATTCTTTTCCGTCTGAAGTCTCATTTTGCGGACGTACTGGAGAGCACCCAAATGGTACAGGAAAACAAAAGGAGGGCCATTACTCGCCTGTCTGGGCTATTGTAGAGGCTACTCGCTGTTTGTGGATGAGGAATATGGATAACAAAGCTTGCTGGTGTGCACAGAGGTTGAATAAGTCCATACTATCCAAAACCTCTGGCCCAAACCAAGTCTCTTGTCTTACGCCCACCTATTTTTGCAAGTAAAGGGAATGACAAACAACTACTGAAAAAATGAAAAAATAATCTCAAATTTTTTTAAAAACTGTGTTTTCTATAAAGAAGCTTGGTATCATAACTGGTACTATATGGTGTATTTTAGCACAACTGGATTTGTTTAATGACCAATCAGCATCTAGGACCAGAACTATCTGTTTTAAAATATAAATTTATAACACTGAGAGAAACCAATTAGCCACAAAAAAGCAAAAAATGTTAGATAGGCATGAAGACAATGACATGTCAAGGATGAAGCTTCTGTCAGCCCTCAAATTTCTTTATTATGTACCTGTCTGTCAAACGGAGCATCTGTATGGTAATGACCGTTAATAGGGTGTGTGGTAATTGCGTGGCCTGCGACGTATCCGCATGGCGGGGGGTTAGATGTTAAACACTGTCTGTTGGTTTTCACTCGCCTCGTCGCCGTCTGCACTGTCAGCGGCGCCATTATAGAGCAAAATTAGACATCTGATACCTCCAAAGCAATTGACAGCCTTGACATTTCATTAATTTGCTCACCCAATCTGTGGGCGATTGTGACGCATAACGAAAAATCTACCTCTGCGTGCCCTCTCGTTGTTTTTTCTTTGCCCCTCTCTGTTTGTCCTTGCATTCGTCGCACGGCCTCCCTCATCGTAGACTGCAGTCGAAGTCATGTTTAATTTGGTAACAAGGCCTCCTTTGGCAAATTAGCAATTAGAACAATTTGGTGAGGGGAAATATGTATATGGGTCATTAGCTTTTTTCTCATCTCCTACAAATTAATAGCAGGAGCATCAGGTCAGGCTCGCATTTTCCACTCCAATAGAAGAGGAAATGTGACACTGACGACTCAACGTAGCCGCTGGAAGCGAGATTGCACCTTAACTAACCCGCTGGCTAATTAGTTTACCTTATAGCCATTATTACTAGCCCCCCACCTTGTGCCACTTGATAATGGAGGAAGAAAGTGTTTCTCTGGAAACTATTTCTCCAGAAGAACCATCTTATGCCAAACCATCGGGCTGATGAGGGTCATTCAGATGTGACGTTTAATCGTAGTATCACCCCTGTAAGTAGCCACTAATTAGGGTCCTTACAATACAATTTGAGGCTGTAATTAGTGTAGGTTGACCTCTCTCTGTCTGCGGCTTGTTAGGAGCCTCTTAGGGCTCGGTGAGAAACTCATTCCATCAGCCAGCAAGACTGCTACTGCCGCCCGAGAGCAAAGAGAGCAAGCAAAGCATTCTGGGAGCACGCCAGCAGACCAAACAAAGAGGCGACCAGGGGGGATGTACGCTATTTGCTTGCAGAATGATGGACGCGGAAAGCTAAAGCATGGTGTTTACAAATATTTACAAACCAACATGCCACCAATGCTCCTCTGTGGTGCAAAGATTGATTGGATGGTGTGTTAACAATTAGCATCCGCAGGCATCAGCCGTGACTAACAATGCTGTGCCCTGTTTTCTTTCTGTTCTTTTCAGCTGAACCTGGTTTCTAACATCACCCTGTCCAAGACGGCTCCCGAGGCCTCGCCGCCCCTCAGCTTACCCCAGACGCCCACCACCCCGACGGCCCCCCTCACGCCGCTCTCACAAACCCACTCCGTTATCACCCCCACCAGCCTGCACAGTGTCGGTCCCATGCGCAGACGCTACTCGGACAAGTACAACATGCCCATATCTCCAGGTACAGACAGATTGCTCTGAAGCTTCATTGAAACATACAATCCATGAATCATTAGGATTGGTGGGTAAATCTTACGAAAATATGTGCAGGTCACATTTCACCCTAAAATATATATATATATATATACTGTATGTATGTATGTATGATGTATGTATATATATATATATATTGAATTACTTTTTTTAAATTATTAATTAAAATATATTGAATTTAACAGCTATATTAAATTTATGTTTTGCTTAAAGAAAAAAACACTAATTTTAGGACCATAATATATTTTTTGCTTTATTTTCATTGCAAGTAAACACATTTTTTCCCACAAATTCTCATTACTGTAATGTGTCTGGATGTGTTCTTTCTTTTTTTATTATTTTATTTTGTTTTTGTAATACTCATTATTCTCAGTGTTGGTTTTCATTAGATTTTATATTACTGTATTTTACTACTGTCATTCAATTATTTGTAAAAAAAAAAAAAAAAAAAAATAAAAAATAAAGCATATAAATACACTGTAAGAAAACAATCTGTAGAAAACTGTATATAATGTAATAAAAACTAGGGATGCGTCGATCCGATATTTATATCGGGTATCAGATCGGA